TCAGAAGTTCGAAACCAGCCTGGCCAACAAGTTGAAACCCATCTCTACCAAAAATACAAAAATTTGCAGGGCATGGTGGTGGGCGCCTGTAATCCCAGCTTCTCAGGACGCTGAGGCAGGAGAATTGCTTGAACCTGGGAGGTGGAGGTTGCAGTGAACCAAGATCGCGCCACTGCACTCCAGCCTCGGCAACAAAGCAAGACTTTTCAAGAAAAAAAAAAAGAAGAAGAAAAGAAAAGAAAGAAAATATTCCCAGTTCAGGAAAATACAGGCTGGTCTTTCCCAGGCCTTTTCTTGACTCCATACCTTTGTGGTGGGTGTTCCCCGTTCCAGAATGTTCTAAGTAGGGAATGGTGGCCAGCTCAAAGCTGAAAACCATGGCCTGGCCCATGGTGGGAGGAGCGGTGTCTAGGATAACAATTGGTCCTGGACTTTATGAAGGGTCTTAAAGTCCGACATTTGATATTGTCTATAAAAGAATGAGACCTATTTTCACAAGATATACCAATAAGGTGAAGAAGTTTACATTCTTCATACAGCTTTAAACTTAGATCCCATTATTGTTCCACACTAGTCATAGCAATATTTTCTACAATCTTGCGAAAAGTACACTTATATTGCACTGTATTTTGTATGCTAAAAGTATTCATTTCCACATTTTTTATCACTGTTTTGCATGTTTTCACGTGTTATTCATTTTTCTATTCTTTTTCTGAATTCTCCCAGATCCTCGTATGTTTTCACGTTTTAGTACACAAGGAACCTCAAAAGTTGAAAGTGTCCCAAGCCCTTGCCCACCTCTCAGCAAGCCTCTCTTTCTCCCTTTCCTAGGTGCTTTTCTTTCTGAAGATCTTTGTTACTATTTAACTCCTCTTTCGCAACACCACTGACATTGCACCCGCATCGCCGCGGGCCCACTGTCTGGCTTAGAAGGTGCTCCAGAAAGACCCGCGGCGAATGGAGAAGACAAGCCCAAAGCCTGGAAATGGGTGGTGGCTGCAGGAAAGGGGGTTTTGATTCCATAGGATAAAAAAGGACTCCAACGGTCTCCGCATTCAGGAATGGAGCGGGCTGAGGGGTGCGGTGTTAAGACCCCATCATTAGCGGAGTGCAAGCAAAGCCGCACACCTCCTGGGTTCGGGCTGGGGCGGGCCGCGCCGGCGCGGGAACGAACGCGTGCGGACTGGGAAGCGGGTCCT